TTTCCTGCATTATATAAATGCTAATGATCCATTTAAGGAGGTTTGAGAGATCGATGGTGTGTACAGTTGGTGTCAAATAAATGTTCTATAAACGGGGACAGAACCTCTGTCATGTTCCAGTTCATGACGTTAAAAAACAAACACAATAAGAATTTAAAATCGACATACAATCAACAATTAATCCTCATCCTTTTTGACTAGGGAGTTGAGTTATTCTAAAGGATTTGCAAAAAAAGAAAAACAAGTTTAAAATTTAAATCTTTGATATCTTTTTGATCCTGACTTTATGCGTACATTTTGCTGAAATAAACAGAGTACACAGTCCATGATTTGTTACCTTGAGCAAACAATTCATTGATTTGTATATGTATGTTGAACTCCTTGTTTGATTTAGATTTTATCATCCTGTCAACTGTCCGGGGAACCACTGGCCAAACTGGCGGAATTCCTCAGCAAATGCAACACACTACAGAAACTTGACCTCAGTCGTAAGTACGACACATCTACACAACAAAACTTCTGGCTCTTACCATGAAAAAAAGTTTGCATTAACTGAACTTATATCATTTAATATAAAATAGCTCTGCTTCAACCAGTATCAATCTCTATATTTTATTCATTTTCAAAAACAAAATATTCCGTAGCGTAATTTGCGCGCATTTGGTATAATTTTCCGGATGCCTCGTAATCGGCCCCCATTGATCATTAAAATTTCAGTCGTCTGTTCGACAGAACCTGAACTTTTTTTAAGGAGGTTAAGGGGTAAACTAATTATTTTTTTATTAACCACCAGATATAATTTAAATTTTGGGATATGGTATCTTAAGTTGTCAACTATGATTTGGCAAAGAAAAATTTCATAAATTTTAGCTTTAAAATTTGATCATTTTATTTATTAGGAGCTCTTCTTCTAATGGAGATCAAAATAGTCTAAAAATGGCCACGACCACCCAGCCTCTTTAAGATGCTTATATAAAACTCTCTTTTTGCGTTATATCTAATAACTTCTTGTTACTAGAATCTTGAGAAAGGATGTAGTGGTAAATCACTTATTATTTTAACCGTAAATATATTAACTATTTCAATGTTGATGTTTACTTTTTTTTCTTTTTAGACAATGACTTGAAAGACAGAGATGTAAATTCTGTATGCAAAATTATCCAGGTGAGGACATTTGTAAGGAAACAGGCATCCGAAGAAACATTTAGATTGCACTGTAGGCCTAATAGTTATTTTAAAAATACTAGTAGTCAAATCATTTTAAACTTATGTAATTTCAGGAAAATGAAAGTATCCTCGATTTGATCTTGGCTCATAATAACTTGGGAGACAGTGGAGTTGCCATTGGGATAGCTTTAGGTAAGTTGGGAGGACTTTACAGCGAGTTTGAATACAATTAATTGATAGTAAGCATGTGCTCGATTATATTACTTGATAACAATGTAACTTGATGATAAAATGACTCTTACAGCCGAGAACGACATCCTTCAGTCCCTGGATCTCAGCTGGAATCACATACGAGTTGTTGGGGCTGTCGGTCTGGCTAATGGTGTTCGAGTGAGATACTCTTTCTTTTTCTTTTTTTCTTTTTTTTTGAATTTTCATTATTATAATTAATAAACATCCTCGAAAAACAGATATTTCGAAATATTCTTGTTACTTCTTTGAGACACTTATTTTTTTCGTAGATCAAATTTAATCAAACCAATAATATCATCGTTTAAATCACACAAATTTCTCTATTTCTAATAACAGAAAAATACAAATTTGAAGACGCTGATAGTAGCGTGGAATGGTTTCGGATTTGAGGGGAGTGTCGCCACTGGAAAGCTCCTTCAGAACAATACAACACTGGTACACCTCGACTTAACGTGCAATAGAATTCATCCGCCGGCATTGTTTGAGATTATTAAAGGTCTAGAGAAGAACAAATCGCTACGACTCCTCAATGTACGTGGCAGTTATAAAAGTCAACTACAAGCTCAGCTTCTTCAACAAAAATAGTGTCTAAATATTAAGTAAAAAGTAAAATTAGAATGAAATAACCAAAACAGTATAGTATAAAAAAATAAATTAATGGTGATTTTGATATATTGCAGCTTCATAGTTTTCTACTCATAAATATACATATGTTTAGCTACAAAAATATAATGATGAGTTTTTTTAGTGCTAAAATATTGTGCAAATCCATGCATCGAATCAAGATGTATGAATGTAGAAAATACGGAACTGGTGTTAATTAGTACATTACAAAGAAGATTGAAGTATACCTACATGATGTCTTATGTATACGATGTGATTCTTTTGGTTTTTATAGCTTTCACAGAATCCCATCACAGCACCAATGACGTCAATTTTCTTGAATCGTATGCTCCGAGCCAAACATTCCGCTCTACAAGAACTGGACCTTGCAGTAAGTTGAAATCGATGAGTTTAAACATATTTCCGTTGGCTTTCAACAGTCCGTGCGTATTTACTTAAGAAAACGACGTCTACTTGATCTTGGTCGGATAAACAGGAAAAATATGTAGACAGACAATTTGGTTAAAAATGATGACAATACAATTTATATAACAGAGAATAGTAAACTTTTGTCCAAATTCTTAGCAACAGATTACAATGGGCATTACTCGTATTTCGACTAAAGAATTTTTCAAATGTTGAAAAAAAGAAACTGTTTACTGTTTATTTTATTGCATATCAAGCTATTTGTCAATAGTCTGTCTTATATTTACCGTGTTTAGAAAAAATATTAGAGCCTTTCATTTCAAATATTTTTACTGGCCTCTTTGTAGGGCGTCGTGGTGGACAAGGAATTCAAATCAGTGTTGGAGAAAATTCAACAAAAACGGATGTTTATTGTACGCTACGATACGTCACTTCCGCTAAACACAGGAACTGTTACCACAGCGGATCCAAAGAACATTTTTAATATTGACCCGATAAGGATCCTGTATTTCATGAAGGAACATTTAAGGACAATAGATTTATTTCTCAAGTTTGACAAAGACTCCAACAATTGTTTGACTAGGGATGAGATGCAATTTGCTTTTGAGGTAGTGTTATCTAAATGATGTAGAGGTTGAAATGTTCGTATTATGGTAAAATCTTATATATTTGCTAGGAGACAAGAAAATTTGATACAATTATCCACTTTTCAAAATGTTTTTCACATTGATATATCAGTACAAATTATTTTTGTTGTTGAAAAAACTAGGCACCATAAAAAGTGTTATGTTAAAAAACAAATACTACTTTTTAAAAATTTCAAGTTTAGTCAATAATAAGTTAATTGCAGTTGAATAAGGTTTTGGTTGGCTATTTATAAGATAAATCGAAAGAAAAGTTATATTGAGAGAAATAAATGTAGTGTAAATATAAATATTTTACAAAATACAGTTACATGTTACAATTTGCAGCCATAAAAACCATGTTTTAAAGAGAAAGCAGTAGACACAAGACTCCAACATTTCCATTTCATCTATAAATGACAATAATTTTAAAATTTTACAAAAACTTATTTGGCATATGTCTTCACAATCCAAAGTATGTCTTCCGCTAGATTCACATAAACATCTACCATGTACTGTCACCATGTTTTAGTTCAGAGAGGAAGGGGTACCCAATAATTATAGCAACCATAAGATTGTAATCACTATTTTAAATTGAAGGGATAACTTTGAGTAAAGTCGTTCTAGGTTTTGTAACTACCTCGGTACTTATTTTATTTACAGATGGAGGGATATCCCATAAGTAAAGCAGCTCTAGATTCTGTCATGTCATATTTGGATACGAACAAAGATGGCAGTGTCGATCTACTGTAAGTCATACCGCAATATAAAGATTGGTTTTGAACACTCTTTACATTGTTAATCCAAAAATATAAAAATAGTATCATTTTCTAGTTTACCAAAATTGCAACAGGAGATAGATCGACTGGATAAAAAGTATCCTGGAAAGTACAGGTAGACTGATTATTGGCAAGCTGCCAAAACATGTGCAACTTAGGCTTGGTTCAATATACTGTATACCGTAGTGCTTCTATAGTTTATATCGCTTTTAGGCTAAAATTCAGCCAGAGTAACAGAACGCCAGGTGTTTGAAATAGATAAATTTCGAGAAGATCATAAAAACTGCAATATACCGCACTGGAATGCTTCTTACGTATACTGCTTAAACACTGCATGTATTATAGCTTTGTGGCTTATATATATGACACGTACTTACATTATGGAAGGTATAAACACGGGTTGTGACTAGAATAGGTATGGGGATCATTACTTCTTTATTAAGCTCGGTAACCATTGAATGCATACCTCTGTGACTTAAAATTAAAAAAAAATTACCATAGAGGACTTTTGGGGTTAAGAAGTTTTCATTGACCGATGGTGATCTTTTATCAACATCATTTAATCATAATTAAATATGTATCCTTCCCTTTATTGTATTAGGGAATTCATCGAAGGTGAGCGGAGGCTGAAACGGAAGTTGATCCAGGAGAGGGAGGAAGACGCGTTACGACAGGGGGCGGAGGAGGAACTAAAGAGGGACCACGGGTACTCCCAGGCTTACCAGACCCCCACCAAACCGAGGTTCCCGCCAATTAAAAAGTGACGTCAGGATTGACGTCACAAATGTTATCAAGACTTGGGGGCTAAACCACAAATTGCTGACTCCGAGCATACATTATAACTGATCTGGAAATGGTGCTATTGACTCATACAGTATTAAAAGACAAACTCAGCAATTCACGCTGAAATCTGCAAAAGTGCATTGCAGAATTTTATAAATAGCTTTTGAACATACTCAGGGTTGAATCATATGTTTTACTTTCATTTATTCTGTGATCTATTTTACTTGTTTGTATTAGATGGTTTTATTTACTTGTTGAACTCTGCATTGACTATGTTTGTGCGTGAAATTTTACACTGCTACATATTTAAGTTAAAATATGTGTATTTCAAGAAATTTCTTTTCAAAAAACAGATACTAAAGCCAAATTTTTGTACATTTTAAAATGGCTTTATTTCACATTGCCCGTTCTGTTGAAAGACATTTTTGGCGCCACATTTAGCCATATGGTTCTCGGAGCGATAGGGAGGGTCTCCACAATGTTGGTTGTGTATCCGACCTTCCCAGTTGTTGTTAATTTTATATTTAAATTCAAACCAACCATTCTCCGTCTTAGAACAATCCATCATCACATCCAGCAGCCAATAATGAGGTCCATATCTAACAATGGGATAGTAATAATTAGTAAATAACCAGTATAAAGTCTTCTTTTAGCCTCAGACTTAGATCTTTTCAAATCAAAATCGATCTAAAAATGTATTAAAAACAGAATTCGTTGTCTGGACTGACTTTTTCCCCCCCTACAAAATATATATAGATGGTATTCTTCTGATAAACGGAGATTATATTTTAAAAGATAAGTGATGGTGCTTGCAAAAATGTTAAATCATATTAAACAATAACTAAAAATTATTTTATACTAATCGGACAGTTACAAAATGGCTTGATACATGTCAAACAACATTTCCGTAGATTTGAAAACATTTAAATGGCACTGAAATAAGGAAAGAGCAATAAAACAACAACGGCATCATTTGGTAAAAGGTGTGCATAAAATAACATAAAATGAGGTTAATTAATGTATTTAAAAGGTATTCAATACAATAAAAAACGAAGACAAGATGAAAAGATGTTTAAATCTTACAGAAGACAAACAATATAAATTATGTTTTTTGTAACATTCTTACGTGTTGAGTGGGTTGTATTCTTGTCTGTTTCGGTCATTCGTTGTCCATACGGCCGGTGATCCGGTGGGTCGCCTGCCTTGATAACTACCCTGACCTACTTCCGGTCCATACCAGTCCAGGTGATGGTCGCCTTGTTTCCAGGCGTCATAGGCATTGTAGAAGGACGGTTCCTTGTTGTGTATAATTGGTATAGCACAAGGACTGGTGTTAGCATCAGGAGTGCATCCTGTAATCAGACATCAGACAACAATGTGTCAACAAAAATATAAATTTCTTACATAGAAAACATTTTGAAATCTGAATTTAGTATCTGTAATTATATAAATCTAAGCTTCATGGATAATATGTATTTTAAAAAGAAAATGTCAGCTTAATTAAAAAGTATATAAAATACGTAAATGCCAAAGCCATTCATGGACTTTTTATAAGAAAGAATGTCTTACAGAAAAATAGTGGCCTATTATTAGCTTTGAAATAAACAATATTTGGCAAAATCAACAGATCAAAGGTGAGCCAGAAAAAAGATTTTCTTAGCAAGTTATATCATTAGGCAAAGTATCTTCAGAAAAAAAGATTACTCATACCCTGTCTATGGTCATGACTAATACCGCCATCAATAAAGAGATCCTCCCCGTTTCTCGTCATTTTTTCTATCAGAATTACAGTTCTTGCCCACGTGCCGTTTCCTGGTGTTATTATTGGCCCTGGGCTAGACGTGGTGGACGAGTCAACTGATCCTGTAGGAGAGACTCCTATAGAGTCCGTAGTAGATAAGCCAGATGAAGATGTTGTAGACGCAGAAGGTAACTTTGTTGGCAAAGGATAGTGATTAAATAAATGATCCCCGGGTCCTGTTGGCCCATCTGAAGAATATATTATACATTGATTAGTTGAATAGTGTTTAACGTAGAGAAGGCAACATTAGGCGAGCTAGCAATGACAACGATTTGTTATGTACCAGTGGACTGACGTCCAACGTATCCTGAAGATGCACACATTGAAACTGCTAAACTAAATTAACATATAGTAATACATAACATTTTTTTTAATTCTAACTTACTTACTGACAATAAAGGCTATGATTGGTTCTGCACTGTTGTCAATTACGATGTGGGCGTTACCTCTACCGTCCACTGTGATTTTCTTCTTGCAGTCTGAAACAAGTTCACAATATTCTCCGGCTGGTAGCCCCGTCTGTAAGGTCCTGTCCATGTGACCTTGTTTGGCCATAGCAAAGAAACCTTTCTGTCCGCGAGCAAAAGAAATTTCATCATTTTGATTCCTCCAGTTCTTTATCTCAGTTCCCGCCACGGCGTTCCTGAAGACCGCCATGTTGGCTATTGGGTTCCACCTGTGTTCACATACCCATCCATTACCACAGGAACCGTCAGCGTTAATGGTAACGTCTTTTGCTGAAAAGTCAGCGTTGTCTGGGGGTCCTTGGTCCGAGTTATCAAAGAAATAGCTGCTCATGACTCTTGTAAATCCATAATTGTAAGCTAGTGTAAATGCCACCGCCATTTTGTAGTCACGTGGTGTTTTGTGTGTTATTAGATTACCTCCACCTCCGTGTCCCCTTTGGTTGTCATGGTTATCGACAAACACGAAGGCATGGCTCGGGTCCGACATTCCCCAAGACGGAACATACATGTCATTCAATTGTCCGAAATCGTGAATTCCATATGCAATCTTTTGACAGTAACGAAACTCCGTGACATATCCTAACTCGTAATACTCATTAACTCTCACGGCCCCATCGTTCTGGTCGATGACCTCATGGTAAAAGAACGGTCGTCCTCCTTCTGGAAGGTCCTTGACCCTGTCCTGAATGGCTTTGACATCTCCCGGCCACATGTGTTTGGAAGCATCGATTCTAAATCCCGCCACGCCTATGTCGATACAGTGGTTGAAGTACTCTGCAATTTTATCTCTGACGTACTCCTGGCTCTGATCTAAGTCAGTGAGTCCTACCAGAAAACAATTCCGGACGTTCTTAGGGTCACTATAATTGTCGACTCCGCCGTTTCCGGACGGACACTTATCTCGTGTGTTGAAATGTTGTCGGGTATATGGGACTCCAGGAAAATCGTAATTGCTGGAATTAAAGTGACTTCCTGCTGTCCCTATTCCAATTCTCCCTAGTCCAGCCATGTGATTGACAACGGCGTCCACGTATATCCTACAAGAATAAAAAAAAACTTTTCTCATGCAGAAATTTACAATGCTCATAGTGTACTACTGAAATGTTTGTTGAAATATTGAGTTATATGCACCTGACTCCAACATTTTTGCATCTAACAATCATGTCTTTGAATTCAGCCTCGGTTCCTCCCCGGCTGTGAAGTTTATAACTGACCAGTTGATACTTCTCCCACCACGGACGCATTGGGTGTGTGACCACAACGTGTTCATTTGGAGGTGAAACCTATCGAAGAAGACTTTATATGTCGGAATGATTCATATGAATTATTTCTTTGCAAACCAAGTGAGTTTTTGACAATTATAATTCTCATAGATTTATAAATAGAATAGACATACACCATGGAATAATTTAAATGAACCTGAACTCTAAAAGTTTAATCTACAGTACCTGACCGGTCAAGGTAGCCTAGTAATAGAACGTTCGCTTGGTGATCGGGAGGCCCGCGTTCGATTCTCGTTCGCGGTGACGCCTCAAACCTAAGACGTTAATATAGGTATAGTGAGTGTTCCTTCGCCAAGCGCTAGGCAATTGAAGTCATATATAAAAACGTAGGTCCCGTGTCACGGTAGGCGTTGACCCTCACTGCTCAATTGAATAAAGGTCTAAATTTGAAGCCCTTCACCGGAATACTGTCATATCTCTATATGAGTGAAAAATTCTCGATTTGGACGTTAAACAACATACACTCATTCAATCTACTGTACCTGAACTCCACAAAACTGCTTCTTGCCGAGGAACCTCTCACATTCGTCTGCTATGTCTGTCCACTTCCACTCAAACAAGTGGACAATAACCTGTTTACCATTACAGTGTGGATCTCGATAATCTCCATTGACCACTGACGTAAAAACAGTATATAAAATTTAATCAAATGATATGACTACTACAGCACATCAACTAGACTTTTTAAAATTTTTATGAAAATATAAAACAAATTGCTGAACTTTACGACACCAGTTTGGCGTAGTTCTCTGTCAATACATTGTACGTCATGGGCTATTTTTGTGCAAAATGTTTTCTTGTACTATATTTTATATCGTGTAAAGATAATAAATTTTACAATATCTGATTATTATTTTGTTTCTTGAGGTTATTAAGTTTATCAAACAACAGTATAGTATCGAAATTCATTTGGGCAAACTCAAAGCAATAAATTAAATAAGTTTGTTATTTAAGAAAAGTGAACTAAACTTGTGTCAACTTGACCTAGTCAGACCATTAGTAGAGAAAGCTATGACGCGAAGATCGACATCTAAAATTTCATTTTCTTGGAATGATAATGACTGGTTTATTTAAAAATTTATATAATCCTAACATTCAATTGCCATCGAGAATAATGTGCGTACTAAAATCTTTTAGTTTTATCAGTAAAGACAGTACCATATATTCAACCGAACTCTTATCTAATCCCAACATATCTTTCAATTGTGTTCGATTAATATGTCCCCGTAAATTAAAGGAATTGCGATAATCAGTCTTAGAATCGACTTTAATATATTTGCAGTTTTAGAATAAATTTAGAACTAAGAAACAAACCTTTGTAACAGCTGAGTAAGAATATCAGAAGATTCAACATTCTATGGAATTATCGTTCAAGTCTGTTCAATTGTGGTACCTGAAAGAACTTATTTTATCGCAATTTTATCATTTTATCTTGAGGCATTGAAAATTGGTCTTAAGGAGTTGTTAAGTTCTTTATGATTTTGATCATAAAAATAACACAGATTCTAAAAATTGAAATTGAAAAGTACCTTCCATACCAAAACCATTCTCAAAATTGGCTCATGAGCAGCTCACTTGAGGACTAACCAGAGTTCCTCACATGAGTTGCTCACGTGAGTAATATGTGCAATTTAACATGCAAATTAGGTGAAATGCTCACATGAGCAGGCTTTTGTACATTAGCATTTTTTGCTCATGTGAGGAATCATTTTTATCACATAGAATATTGCTCACGTGAGGCTCATAAGTCACATGAGGCTCATGAGTCTCATTTGCAACAATTTCCCACTTGAGCAAGCAACAATAGAACAAAATTCAGATTACAAATATTATAAATAAATAATATTTAAATATTCTTGATCAACATGTACATGTAAATAGATGCATGCATAAATGTTCAACTTCATTTTTCGAACTTAAAATGAAATAAAAATTTTAATTAAATTATTACAATTATGTACAGTACACATTATAGTACTATTTTCCAATAGTTAGATTTCCAGTAGATTTACACCAGAACATCCATTATAAATGTCCAATCAACATTTTTTGACTGCATTAGATGGATTAATTAAACTTGTCTTGGAGGCAAAGTAGATTTTTCTCCCATTGCTGGATTTATATGCGCACAAATCCTGACTGGCTCTCCTCATTGGATACTGCCCTAGTTTAAGTAATTGTGGGGGGACACAGCAGGTTGTTTAGGTAGAGCAAAGCATTTTCAAATTAATGGGATGAAGATTAGAAGTTCAAGAAATTGCAAGAAAAGCAGGTTGTTTAGGTAGAGCAAAGCATTTTCAAATTAATGGGATGAAGATTAGAAGCTCAAGAAATTTCAAGAAATTAATATATTCCTGCCTGGATCCCAATCATTTGGGATGCTATGATCAGGAGGCATTAACACTTAACACATGGGCAATTGTAACAAAGGCTTGTGAAAGCTTGGACCACATAGAGTATCAAAGTGTTGTATTTCCTCACATGAGCCTCACGTGAGGAATTGAGACTTGTAATTCTTTGGTTTTGGTTCTACTTGTAATACTAAATTTTGACTATGTCCAATTTCCTCACCTCTTGCTTACGTGAGAAAACTGAACTTAGAAAAATTACTACCAATACTATATCTTAAATAAGGCTGTTCTAAGGTGAACAAATTGAATAGACTTTTGCTCATGAGCATTGAGATGAGCATAATTTTGCACATGTGCAATTTTTTTTTAGTATTTTCCTTCCTAAAAGAGACTAACAATCTGCAAGACCAAAATCCAATTCCACCTAATTTGCATACAATTCTTACTAGATTCTCATTTGAGTCTCATGAGCATTTCTCAGAATGTTTGGTTTAAATTTAGCTTCCATGAAGGTAATTTTCTGGATCTTTCTTAATTTGTTCTAAAAACAAATTTCCAAAGACACCATCAACGATTTGTTTTAAATGTAATGAGTTTTAAATCGTGTAATTTTTGGTGGGACACAATGACATCAGTTTTTGATGGTAACCAGAACTTTAGTGGATCTCGTATTTGTTGCAATATAACCTGGAAATATGAAATGAAAAAGCAAATTAGTACTAAAGCATTTATACATTATTGAATAAACCACCCAAAACATTTATTAAGCCACAAATTCGGTGGTAAATTAATGATTTAAAAACAAAGAGGATTAATTTTACATATGCATATGAAGTTAACTCTGTTATATGGCTATCGATGGCATGTGCGTTTTTGTAATATAATAATATTGCATCAAATAAGACAGATCATAACATAGGAATACACATTCATATATTTAACATAATAAAAATCGTGAGCGGTGTAGGTTAAGGGCCGGTACACACGGTTAGGCTTGCCTTACGTTTTGCAGGACGTACGGCTCTCATGTCCACACGCTAAGGCAACACTTTCAATATTCTAAACCACATTTACATAAATTCCATGTGTTTTTTTTAACTATAAACAGTGCGCATTATTTAACGGAATAGTAGATTACTATCTAGGAATTTGAAATAGTGTTATCGACCAGTGTATCCACACTTCTTAACAAAGAAGAGAAAGGTTGAAGTATTTGTGAATATTTTCATTATCTTATTCGAATATACTTTGTGTTTTCTACATTATACCAACGTGTATATATGGTTTTATAAAAATAGATTGAACTTTGGGTAAATGGTTTTCATTGATTAAGAAATAAATGTCAGCTAAGTCCTGTATTAAGAAATAGAGCAGTGTTCTATTCCTAAGTCAGACTTGTAAGGCTCGAAAAACCGTGTATTAGGGGTGTACACAAGGTAAGGCTAGAACTCAAGTTCCAAGACTTAAAGGGTAAGCCTTACCGTGTGTACCAACTCTTACAGTTCAGCAAATATTCTTTCACTGTATAGGAAAACTGCTCATCACTTTTTACTATCCCAGAAAATTTGCTTGTTTACATACACGCTGCCATTGAGAGACTCCCCATACCTATTCCATCACCCGAATCATGTATGTATCTAGCTATATTGAATTGTGCTTACAATGTTTACACCAGAACATCCATTATAAATGTCCAATCAACATTTTTAAATATTTACTTAATATTCAATTAAAAGAAACTCAGACTTAAATATTTAAGTCTGAGTTTCTTTTAATTGAATATTAAGTACAACCATCAAGAATGTCAATCATTTAATAAACAGACTGGTTCAACTCTATTTTATCGTAATTCAGTTTTATTTTAATGAAGTACTTAATCATATGCATAAAACTCTTGGTGGGAGACAAAGGAATCACTTCTTGATGGTAACCAGAACTTTTGAAGAAGATGTCGTTGTTGATATAATATGTCCTAAATATATATATATAAAAAAAGCAAACTATCACTTCTGTCTGTTGAGTATTGCAAATGCCACAACATAAACAAAGAGCTACAAGTTCTCAAATAGCAAAGGGATAAAAATTATTACTTTTAAAATAGAAAAAAATAAACTATGATGCTAAAAAGGCGCTCATTCATCTGTGATAAGGTTTTCATTGCTGACTTAAGTAAATGCGTAAGCACTGATATGTACCGGATTCCTCTAAACTTTCCCTCACACAAGTAAAATTTCTAACATTTGTTTAATTTTTTTGAAGGATGTTACTTTTGTAGAATGTCGCTTCTTATAATATATATAATGTATATGATATTTTAAAAGCTACGTATTCCTAATCTTATCTGAAGATTTTCACAAACAAAACATTTCCGTACCTTGTAGTATGTGGAACAATTCCTTTTGAAAACAATCGTCTGTATTGCAACAAATCGTGCTCCTTCCAGGAAACAACAGTCCCAGGGTTTGTTTGTATTTACATTCCGATTCCTGTAAGAAATGATTTATGTTTTTACTTTTATCACAAAGAATATACAGGATATTCATTTTACAATTTGAAAAACTACATATATTGTTTCAATATATTTAATGATTCAATACAGAATGATCATATTATGAATAAATCGGACGGTTTTTAAGCTTACCCTGATACATTTTGATTGAATTATGTTTGCTTGACTTTGAAGCATACACACTCCACTGCAGGGCTGAAAATTATTGGCGCATTGTGACGTCAGTAAATTTTCGCAGTTATCACAAGATGCTTGTTTCGCAGTTGCTGCAGAAGTCGTCATCTGATTACTACTAGTTGTTATCTCCCCCTGATTTGTTGTTCTTTGTTCTCTAGTTGTTGATATTGGTACCTGAATGGACGTTTGATTTGGTGGTTGATAGTCAACTGAATGAAAATAGTTTTGAAATTTATGAGGGTTGTGGCTTCAAAAATATATTGTCCATGCTACCTCCAAGGTTATTAATGCACTTTCATAACGAACATTAACTTTTCGATTTGTCAATGCCTGAGAGAGAATTTCTGACTTAAAAAGTTTTGGATTCTTTTTGTAGGGTAAGCTACAATTAATTTGCTAATTACTTTTGGACTTTAAATTTTTGTTCCTTATACCCAAAGCTCTTTATATCCATATATTTACATTTCTAACGTTCTTTGTCCGAGATGAAAATACAAATAGTTAATGTGCTTTATTTTTACATAAATGTACTGGTTAATCAATAGGTGCAGTTAATAAAAATTAAGTGCAGGGCGGGACAAATAGAGACAAAAAGCGGGGTTTGTAGCACGTGGATTGGCGGAATCAAGGGTATGTAATTATAAGCAATAACTCACAAGGATATCATTTTGAAATCAAAAAATTCTAGACATTTATTTCTTAAACACGAAAGTGCTTTGATATGAGAAATGGGAAAAAATTTAACTTCCTTATAACAGAAATTTCATACTGAGTTCATTATAAGAGAGCTTTACTGAAATTCCATTTACTTGTTGTAGAATACGTTTGATTCAATGGTTTTTATATAAAATTATCTGTAGTATATGTGTGAATTTTACATAATTTTAGTGACATCCAAGTTACAGTTCTACAATATTTTATAAAAACTTCTTAATATTACAATAGAGATACTGAAGAGACTAAAAAATTTACTTAGTCTTATTTCACATTGCCCATTCTGGTGAAAGACATTTTTGGCGCCACATTTAGCCATGTGGTTGTCAGAGAGATAGGGAGGGTCTCCACAATGTTGGTTGTGTACTGCTCCTTCCCAGTGACCGTATATTTTATATTTAAACTCAAACCAACCATTCTCTGTACTAGAACAATCCATCATTACATCCAACAGCCAGTAGTGAGGACCATATCTATCAATCAGATAGAAATTATGATTATGACCTTGATAAAAATCCAGTTCTACCTCCGTTGGAATTTTTTGTAATAAACAACACAAAGTAGAAATACCAGTCAAACCTCTTATTTTCTACGACCCTGTTCTTATTCCACACATTTGAAACATGTCAACAGGCAACTCTGACGTCATCGTTAGAATTTATTGTTTCCCGATCCTGCATATTTAGCATTTATACACCTATAATTATAAATAGGATTTATCTCGCTTAAACCACTGGAATTTTATTTAAAGGGCGACAACACTCTTGTAACCCTGCATGTTACCTTACGCTGTCTCATTGCTATCTGAAGGTTGATAACAGTTGTCACCCTGCGCGTGAGGGAGACATCACAAATTTTCACGCCTCAAGTGACATGCTCTAAACCAATCAGATTGACCGTACAATTCTGAAAGATAATAATGATGATTATGAAATAGCGCAAGGGAGCGTGTAAGGTGACGACTATGTTATCTTCGTTTAGATGGTTATGAAATAGTGCAAGCGAGCGTGTAAGGTGATAACTATGTTGTCTCCCTTCATATGAAAATGTCGTATCCAAGATAATAATTAAATATCTGAAATGTATGCGGTATCGGAAAAACAAGTGTGGACTGATATTTCTACTTTATATCATCAATGATTTAGACAATAAAAGTATTATGGACTGTTTAGAAAGGAGATATCACCAATTATTAAATTGTGTAATTTATAAGGAAAAGGTAATAAAACAAATAGAAAGATCTTTTTAATTTTAGTAAGCCTGAAGTTATCAAAAATACGCCATTTATGATTTTATTACACTCGGGTTTCCTTTCTTCAGGCATGCTATATTTTCTGTTTATTATGTTGTTTGTACACTTTGTACATATCTCTGCACTGTTTTAAGAATAAAGTTCATTTTCATTGCTTGACAATTAAATTGTGTTTCTTTATCATTCGACATGTTTTTATATAAATCTATCACAGGCACTTGTTTCAGAAATAAAATTTAATCCATTGTATAATATTACTATACTATTGGTTAAAATTTTATTTGCGAAACAAGTTCTGTGATATCGATCAAGCAGATTTCTTTCAAAAACGTCCTCATTAAAATAAAATTCTTGCTGTGGCCTAAAACATTTACAGATATATCTACGACTTTTTATCAGTTAACATGAGCTACTTTCATTCAGATGTCGATTCGATATATCCCAGTGAACTCGAAATAAAAACACCAGATATTCTGTCAAATCCGTCTCATTTTCGGATATTTTACAGACTACAGATGGCTAACTAACAACTAGACTGCAAGAATCATCGTCAACTTTCCTTATCTATAAATTAATAATCCTATATGTTTATTTGTCTAAACTTATTTGATTATGAGGACCATGTTATAAATTAAATAAGATACCAAGGCAGGCTACTGTCAAATATGTTGATGTGACAGGGATTTCAACAACCTCGTTCAAATCTGTATTTCGTAGATCCTATGGTCTTTATAAAGACCTTGTTAGCAAATATAACTTATCATAAAGTCCACTTACTGGATCTTTGTATTTATACTAATTTCACTACGGAATATCCCGTCTATCCAAACATAAGGATCACAGAGGGTGTGACAGGCCTACAGGAGATGGTTACGCCTCCTGGGCACCTGCTATATGTTCAGAATTTTCTGTTCACACATTAGCTATTTGCATTTATTTTTATCGGTCACTGTTGACCTTTTCATTTTTACTTACGTGTTGAGGGGACTGTAGTATTGGCTGTTTCGGTCATTCGTTGTCCATACGGTTGGTGATCCAGTGGGCCGTCTGCCCAGATAAGTTCCCTGTCCAACCTCCGGCCCATACCAGTCCAGGTAATTGTCGCCCTGCTTCCAGGCATTAAAAGACTTGTAAAAGGAGGGTTCCTTATTGTACTTGATTGGAATTGCACACACACTTGTCGCGGCAGTAGTAGTACACCCTGTAGGATGACGGACAATCTAAATAGGAAGTTTTAACAAAATATATATATAACGTGAACTAATAATCCTATTTTGATATAGTCTTAAAGTATTTCTGAATTGTTCCTGATATCATATTACTATGTGACATCAAATTCTAAATAATAGCAATGTTGATATTTAGGTTCATTCATGAAGAGTATTCAATGTATATCAGCCCTTTATATTGGTGTTTGCTGATCATGTATCAATTTCACTTGAGTCTACCGTTCTGTGAGATGATAGCAATAAAAAATCTGTCATCATACATAAGATTTAATATCCGTCTGTGTGTTTGGTCATTTTTTCATCCAAGTTTTAATCAATGCTGTACTTGCTATATGATTCTAATATAACTTTTTTTTTCAAAAAACTTGTTTTATTATCATGAGAAAGTAAATTGAAAGAACAGTACCGCACTTATAAAATACAGCCTATTTGAAAAAAGATTGTGGGAACCGATGTATTTGCGGAAAAAGACTGTTGGATCAATGGGGAACAGTCCGCGTTTCCTCTTCGCCCAGAATTTCCTTGAAGAGTTGCGAGCGGCGTTTTCCACGATGGGCTCGATATTAAGGAGGTTCGATCCTGAGCTTTTGAGCAAATTTTGGTCTAGACCTTTATTTCTTTACCTCTGCATCATTTTTAAGGTCTGACATTTAATCTGCATTGTACAATGCAAATTGCACTATGTTCAATGAAAAAACCGCGATTAAATACCATTCAAGTGGGTCTAAGCGAGGAACTATATCTTGTGGTGGAAGGATTTTAGTAGAAAATTATAAATGATTACCTTTTGAACTATATTCAGTACTGTTATCTTTAGGTTTTTTTCCATGCTGGTTGCACACAAGGTTATTTTTTGCCGTGAAATATGTTATGCTAGTTCTAAAATATCTATTTAATTATTTTTTATGAATTCTTTCCAGGAATTGTGACAAATATAGAAAACGTATTCTGAAATTCCATGAAAAATTTGAGCTAATTTTAAAGGGGCCTGGACACAGTTTAAGCCAAAAATTTTCATTCTATGTTTTTTGTTTACAAATACTTAACTTAAGTATTTCTAATGATCAGCAAGTTTTTGAATTTCAGTTGTCGAGTTACAAGACAGATTTAGAGCTCCAAACCTTTTTTACATAAACAAGGCCCGAGCCATGTTTTTGTTTACATAGGTTAAACATGCTGATACAAGTATGTGTTCGTCAAAGCAGATTTTTCAATAAAGATGTTAATTTTAAATACAATTAGACATTTTATAATGATTTGCTGAATCCCGTTTTGTTATAAACATGATATTTTCTAAATGTACACAAAAAAAGGCAAGAGCCGTGTTTACATTATGAAGAATTCTCAGTCCTGCATCTCCTTTGTAAATCAACAAATGATGTTCAAGTTTTTGCAGATCATTAGAATTGTCTTAGTTAGGAATTGTAAAATTAAAATTGGTAAAAAAAAATTAAAAATCAGTTGAAACTGAGTCCATGCCCCTTTAACATAAAACTGACACTTATTTAGTAATATCTAAAAATTTAAATCATATATCCCTACTTTTGATGCTCTGGAATATATAAGTTAACTTTGACCTATCTGTTTAAACTCAGCAAAAGTTTACGACTTTAAATTAATTTCTTGCTTATCAAATTTTTAATTCCACAAAAATTACATTAATTGAGTGCAGAAAGGTTTAAAAATAGATTATGCGAAGTACAGGTGACTCTCGATCTCTCGAAGTTCAAGGGACCGCAAGAAAAGTTCGAGAGATCGAGGGGTTCGAGAGATAGAAAGTAAATAAAATCCGGAATTTTCAGTTCCGATCATGGAAGTTCTACTTTTATAGATACCGGAATTATATGTAAATAAAGTCATTGCACGTTTTCAATTCAAAGGTAATTTACTTGATATCAACAACAATGCTTGTATTTCGAATAAATAAAACGAATTTCTAAAGTTTCAGTATTTATTTGTTCTTATTAATTTTCATGATTACATGAAACCCGAAGAGCAATTGTCGGTTTGGCTACTCCGCGGCTTGATCGGGTCCTTCACCAGTGTTCACCAGATTTTTCTTAATCGGTATTCAGTCCTTGAGAAAGGAATTTCTTGTGCAATATTTGCCATGCTGGAATTATGTAAACTCTATTTAATCATAATAAAAGTTCATAGTATATCGGAACTTACTGAAGCGAACATCTATAAATTAAATTTCTAAAAATTATCGTCTCGGTTTCAATTCGAAATAAGTTGTGAATTTGTTTTTAATATACCAAGTAATTAATAACCAATTAATTATATCAAAACACGGACGACCCACAGGTTTAGTGTCATCTATGTAAACACCCAATTAACACCTCCATGCCAGCCCAAGGCGTTCATTGTTTCCAGGTAAGTCCAGACTGCATCAATTTTACGCTTGATTGGCGTGTATACACTCGCAATCAAAACTTCGAGAGACAGAGAGTAAAATTCAATGAAATATGTGTAACGGGACCCAGATTTTGGTTCGAGAGATAGAGAACTTCAAGAGATAGAAGTTTGAGAGATCAGAAGTAAATTTGCTTAGTTATATAAAGGGCAAAAACGGGACCGGAGGTTCACTTCGAGAGATCGGAGTTCGAGCCATCGAGAGTCACCTGTAATTCGAAACTATTTCTTAGTCACAATTTTGAAGTGTATCTATTTAAATAAAATTGAAGTTTCTTTTCTTCCATGCTTTATTTGGATAAAAATATTGGAGGTAAAACGTCGAAGATGTAATTTTCGATTTTGACACAAATTTTAGTGCAGAAAGGTAATATCAAATGTACTGTGGCGCATATTGACCCCCATTTTTTTAATTTGATTTTTAATAAAGCTATGTGTAGAAACTAAAAATATAATTGACAAAAAATTCTAAGACTTTAAATTTCAGAAGCTAACCTCGTTAAGGTTGTGTACAGTTTATTTAACAAAAAGGAAGTGAGATTTACCGAAACCAAATAAGACTGACCAAAAATGCAACTAATAAATTGTAGAATTTCTTCCTAAAGAGCAAAAGCCACTTTGGGCCTCACATGTATTTGGCCCTGAGAATTTTTGAAAAATCAAAATCGCTCAGTTTAGGTTGCAAATGCAGTATTTATCATTTGGAGTGTTGGTGACCACGTATCTTTTATTCATGACGTAATTTTCCCTATAGTCAATGCAATATGACGTCATAAAATGCGCCATTTTCCCCATATTCTGTTAATTTCTTTAAAAACGGCCTAAAGTTGAAGTATTTTTTCAATATTTCATATTAAGCACAACCTCTGATCCAATATATGCAATTACATAATGAAAGATCTGTTTCTGAAGATCAAAAAAATGTTTTAGTTTTTGGATCTCGGGCTTTGCTCCAAAAAATAAAACATGTTTTTTGATCTTCTGAAACATATCTTTTATTATGTATTTGCATACTTTGGATCAGAGGTTGTGCTCTATATTTTAATTCTTTGCTGAAGGTAGACAAAAACGCACGTTTTCTGCAAACTTCAAGAACACTGCAATTTCTAAAAGTCTGTTTTCCAATATCTGGATTCTCAAAAAGAAATTTTATCATAGGAAATGAAAGCACCAAGTGTTGATTGATATAAGTACAGGGCCGTTTAATGCATAAAGTGAACCTAGCTCTTTCCTGTTTTGGGATAGAACTCAGTGGATATGATTTTGATAAAACCAGTAAAAGAAATTTAGACCTAGGTTAATCATTAAGATTGAAATTACAAGAAATAATATACTAATGTTTATTATTACCATAAATGACCTACAGTTCAATTTTGTACTATATTGCAAAGGTAAATTACATAAATAATAAACTCAACAGAGGATTTGTTGCCAGAATCTTCTATTATAAAAATCAATGTAGCTACATATTTTGTGGTGTGAATTAAAGTAATAATAATTAGCATAATAAAGGGTTCACATTCGGTGCATGAACGTCTTTAGTGCTTTTAAGCATGTTTTATTTTTATCATGAAGAAAAAGATTTCCGAAAAGATTATTCTTACCCTGCCTATGGTCATGACTAATTCCGCCATCAATAAAAGATCAAAACACAATATGCAGTGTTATAGATACAGGAGGCAAAGTTGTTGCCAAAGGATAAAGAGTTAAAAAGTTATCCCCGGGGGCTGTTGGTCCATCTGAAGAATATATCATACATTAGTAATTCTATGTAAAGTATGCATATTTCATTTCAAAATACAAGAGCAATCACTAATATCAGACTAACCAACAATAAATGCTACCATTGGCTCAGCGCTATTGTCAATGATGACGTGGGCAGTACCACTTCCATCTACCGTGATCTTCTTCTTGCAGTCTGAGACCAGGTCGCAATATTCCCCTGTAGGTAAACCAGTTTGGAGGATTGTGTCCATGTGACCTTGTTTGGCCATAGCAAAGAAACCTTTCTGTCCTCGAGCAAAAGAAATTTCATCATTTTGATTCCTCCAGTTCTTTATCTCAGTTCCTGCTACTGCGTTCCTGAAGACCGCCATGTTGGCTATTGGATTCCATCTGTGTTCACATACCCATCCATTACC